TTTCAATCAGATGATATCTGTCTTTCAGGTGTATATCACCAGCATGCTACGAGCAAGTATACAGCAAATTCCCCTTGGAGCCGGGTGAGATCGACAACGAGAGAAAATTAGCTTTTATTAAATGTGAACGCAACACACAGAATGATGTATGATAATTATACCACGTAGTTTGAGTTCACTGTTAATTCAACAATTCGATACTTTCTTAGGAAAAAGCACTTGAACGGCTCAAAACGTGCTAAACTGAGATAAACAAGTCATAAGACCATAACACTGCTCGATTGCCATCGCTGAGCGAGCCGCTCTGAAAGGTCACATACGAGACTGTGCAGCTTCTCCCCGTTCCACTCGTAGTCGTGACGATCAGCCAGGACGTGCTCGCCACTCGGACCCCATTTCCGCCACAGATCTTCCACTGCTAGTCGGTGATCTTGACGTCTACTGCAAAGTTTCCGTCCGGACACGTTTTGATCGGCGGTGAGCACTACTAGACATACTAGAGGCTTGCCGAACCGTTTACCACAATTATCCAACATCCTATGGCATTGTCGAAGTCGCAACTCCAACATGGTGATGTCGTCCATCTGATCACAACAACAACCATTAGGATAAATCAGTGTGGGGAATTTGGACACTATGTTCATGACAATATCAAAATTCTGAGAAAATTTTGGGAATTATTCATTAAAATTATTAGTATACTCATATATCAGTGAGGAACCTACTAAGCTGAGCTGAGGAAACCGTACGTGTATCTCAACACTAGCTTAGATGATGGTCAAGTACATCACAAACGAGATTTGAACACAGGTGAAGCAAAACGAATAGTAAAGTAACTACTCACCAGGACATCCCATTCTGAGCGAGTATCACTATCGCCGGCAGCGAGATATCTGAGACATTCTGAAATACAGGCGTTAGTGGCAGCGACGGGCTTCTTGGTGTGAGGAGGAGGAGGATCCAATGATAGGAGGAATACCAATGCCGTGTTGAGGACACCAGTTGTAGTGGTAAGTCGAGGCATGTAAGATGAGTATTTATGGGATACCTGGAAGAGAACACAAGTAATCACTCCTTGATGCATGATGAATCAACCATCAAAACCAGTGATAAAATCGTGATTGTAACTCTACAGTAGATTACAATTTTATACTACAACTTGACAAACACCCGAGTCCATCTTGATCAACACTAGAGAAAATGCGTTGCTTACATTGTCGAATGAAACTCGACTGACGATAGTACTCCGCTGAATCCACCGCCTCGACGCCGAGTCAGAAAGGGAGGTACAACTAGGCTCGGGGGATTGGGGTAGACTAAGGGAACTTGTACGGGACCGGATGACGGACACTGAACGAGGTAGTGGAGGTGGGGCCTCGATTTGACAATAGCATCTGAAACGGAAAGATATCTTTCGAAACGCAAAGATACGACCATCTCACTTTTTCTCATGAGTGCATATCGACATGAAACAACTGATCGTCATAAATTGTGCTGTTATTGTTATAAGTAGGGTTACAACATCGAGTTGATGGAGTAGAACATTGCCAAAATGCATTATTTGAAGTAATTACTAGTTCAGAAAGGACCCGAGATATCACATATATCGATGACCCTGAGAATTTCCCAACTTTTCCTCCCAGAATTTCCATGTACATATTTTCCCGACGACCTACTTATTGCCACAGTTTCTCCTTTGTCGAGTATTCTGTCTTCGATTGAAGTCAATTCTGCCATGCGAAGGCGAACTTATATTAGATCGATTTGATTCACAAACGGAAGAATCTCCTCCATGAATTGTCGATTCACTTTTCCGACATATTGTAAATCGATTAGACTCGCTTCCACACACCATCTTGACAAACTCCGAATAGATATTGGCTCGTCCAATCACCACAAACGCGTGTCGGTAAGTTATCGAGGGAAGATCTTCGGGGACCTATTTTGAATCTTACCACAGACCAACCTCATGCATAACTTTACCATAGTCAGCTCATTATTTTGCTGCGACCAGGAACTCGCTGAATGAAGTAATGATAACATAGTACAGTTCTGATGACGCCGATTAGGATACGTGACATTTTTCGGGCGCGCGCTTTTTATACAGCGTTAAGGAAACGCAAGAGAGCAAGATTTGAGTCTTGTCTGCACGACCATGGACGATTATGGAATGCCAATTGATTAATTCTTGGACGGCCATGAATATTAAAAAATTGTTTTTTACGATGCTTGTAGTAATTTTTCGGGAAAAAACAGAAAAACAGTTTTGTCCCTATGCAATTCCGAATGTGAGTTTTCTCAGCTATTACTCTGTTCATGGGGAAGAAGTCAAAAAACAAGGACGACGGAGCGATCAATCTCGCTTTAATATTTAACTTCCTCAGTACCTAATCCGTATCTTACCACGTTGAACCTAAGATACGCCTCTTCCTATCAGGTCTATGCCTCATGGCAGTACTCGTCTATATGCCTTATTGGCTTTCCAATCCGATGCTACCCGCACTTAAATTCCCCCAAAGGTTAGTTACTAATAATTTCCTATTATTTTCATACCACATTTCTTTCAGAAATATTGGCTTATTCAAAGCCTCTGGGAAATACACTCCGGTTTTACGTACTGCCGCCGATCTCACGTGGATTCAAATCAAAGCCAACACATGCGATGTTGCTATGGCTGAGCAAGGTCAAAGAGGCTCCCCTTAACGACTTCAATATTATTTCCCATAGGTCTCCCTAAGCAGTCCGTCGCCAGTGTTATTACAGCAGTCACTGGGGGGCAGTGCCCAGCTGAATGTCTATTCCAGTTGAATTTACGGTAGAGGAAAATCCCATAAAAACTGACTTACTGCCTTTCTTTTCAGATGCAAATTATATACGGTATTTTTCTATCTCAATTTCCTGGTTGCCGGTTTGGTCGTTTTGGGTCCGCTCATCTCATTTCTGGCTTCGGTCATGCCGTTGGTCGTGAAAGAGTAATAATAATAATACGACTATCATTGGAGTTTCACCCGCGATATGAAAAAACACATTTTTCACAATTCGGGTTTTTTTGGGCAGTAAAACGCCACTTCACGTAAAAGAGGTGAAACTTCGTTGAACTCGTGGTTGAAATATGCTGAAGCTAGTTTTGGGGAAAATCCTTAGGAATTGGAGTAAAAATCAATGTGAGAGAATATGCACGTGGTCAACTACATGTGTTGGTGACTATGTGGCAACTTTTGAAAATTTATTGTACACTTCTACCTCAAGTCGTGAGCTTCACAATTAGTTGAGAAACTCCTGAGCTCAGCTGCTGAGGAAAGCGAACATATATTCATACTACAACACTGTATAGGAAACTCCTGAGCTCAGCTGGTGAGGAAAGCGAACATATATTCATACTCCAACACTGTATAGGAAACTCCTGAGCTCAGCTGATGAAAGCGAACATATATTCATACTCCAACACTGTATAGGAAACTCCTGAGCTCAGCTGAGGAAAGCGAACATATATTCATACTCCAACACTGTATAGGAAACTCCTGAGCTCAGCTGTTGAGGAAAGCGATTACATATATTCATACTCCAACACTGTATAGGAAACTCCTGAGCTCAGCTGTTGAGGAAAGCGATTACATATATTCATACTCCAACACTGTATAGGAAACTCCTGAGCTCAGCTGTTGAGGAAAGCGAACATATATTCATACTCCAACACTGTATATAATATTATTGGATAATACGTATATGAAATCCCTGAGAATTCGGCTGTTAGTAGTAGTGAATATTGTAGTCTCCTCTTTGGTTGGCAATACGGAGAATGTTCGGATGATATATTCTAACAGTTGTGGAAAAGCAGTTCAAAGGTGTTTCCACGTGTGTTGATGACAATTAAAAAATTCGATGAATTTTTGCATACATTTTTGGCGAGTTGAAAATGTATATTCCCAATACTTTTGCCAAGTGCCAATTCTTGAATCAGTTTTCGAGTTTATTCCGACTCGCTCCTTAACAGTAGATTATCCGTTCAGCGATATAACCATGAAAGCATTTTCTATTTCAGGCGCAAGTCGGATAGATTTATGTATTTCCTCATATGTGTCTTGGGGGCTGTCTGTGCGGCAAGCGGCTTGGGAATCTACGCTGGATTTTCGGCTTACATGTACAGCAGGTTCAACCAATATGGGTATTACCCTACACCTTCGTAATAAAGAGGGGCTTACTTTGGAGTTTTACGGAATTTTATGTCGTGAATTTGTATAGAAGCTGTTCTTTGAGAATTCACTCAACAGTTTTACGCCACAAGTTTAACCATTTATGGTTTCAGTAGCCGTTAAAGTAGGAAATCGTAAAAGGAAAGAAAAAGTCGAGGAAAAAATCCCCCAATGAGGAAAATTTTTTCCATTTTTTATACTTGCCATGCAGTGCTAAGAAATGACGTATTCGATTCAGGTTGGGAATCTGCTTCTACCTTGGTGTTGTGGGAGCATTCATGTTATTTGGGTCAAGTCTTGTCATGTACGGCAGAGTAATAATTTCGATGGTAAAACCGTAATTTCCGTAATTTTGATATTTTTCAGCATTCAAAGTTTGTCAAAGCTGAGGAGGAAAAAGAAAAGGAAAAGAAAGCTCGAGAGGCAGCTGAGATGGGAGGAGACTATGACGGAGGTCTATGGGTTACATAATAAAGATGATATCGATCATCAGGGCGAGCGCTACATGCATTGGTGTTGAATCTAATGTATTGAGGGTATTTGGTTTGCTCAATAGAAGGGGAAGTAGTGAATCGGACTTTTTCGCGCAATTTTATGGTGAGATAATCGTTTAGATATTTGTTGTATAGTATGTCTCCTGGCGCCTCATCTAAACCCGAATATAATGATCACATGAGCCCAGGATGTGGAACATGCTTCCGAGCGGCGGTGCTGGGGTCACTACTAGCTGTTGGTACGCCGGCTAAGGTGACTAGTGGGAAAAGGAGGAAGGATAAGGAAGGCCAGGTGAAGGGGATGGCTTAGTGATAGTGGAGTGTTAGAATAGTGACACGATATGTAAAATGGTCTATTAGCTGGGGACGGTTTGATTTGTGGACCTATGAGTTAACCATTACACTAGATGGTCTTGTATACTTGCGAGTCTAGAATATCGGTGGTGATGATGATGAAAGTATGTCGTCGTGAATACAAAGGAAATTATTATCATCGTGATGATACTGTAAGTGTAAGACTGTTGTAAGATGGTTGTGGATACTTATTGCTTCTATTTAATCTACTTGTGTTAAGATGACTGGAACGCCTACGCACACCGAGACTGAGGACAACAACAAATAGAAGTTGTTTCTTTAGCATTCTTAGTAGTAATGTAATAATTTTGGAATTTGTAGTAATCCCAAAATCACCAGTCGCAAACTTGTTTCATTGGCTCAGTTGAAGAAAACGGAATATCTCATATTTTTACAGGAATTTCCTACTGTGTTGATGTGCGCATTTTCAGCGTACTACTGCCAAGAAGTCGATCGGAGAGGACACTACCACACTGGCCCCGTCTACTGTAACGGATGGATCTTATCGAAATGGTAGTAGCAGTAGTTTGTTGGTCTCGGGAGAAAAGAGAGGTTTTAGGAGCATGTATTACACCTAAGGGTGCGACAAGATGTTTACATGGTATACGGGTTGAGCGTCATTCGAGTATGCCTGAGGTCAACGGCAGCAGTCCTACGTTAGTGTTGAGTGAGTAAAGCGGGAGATATGTAAAAATGGAAAATTGCCGCATACTGTTTGTCATCGCTACGCTGACTCTGATGCGTTAATTATGATGATGATTCGGCAGCTGTGGGTCGACATTCAAATTCTCTGATGGATGTTATGAGGTTTTCAATTCGAAAATTTCATAGCATTTTTGAGGATTTTCAGTATCTTTGAGAAATGGGATGATTAGTTTAAATTGAGGTCAAGCGGATATTTCAAGGGAAAATGCGTAACCGTCACAATGTTGACGTTGGTGATGATATATACAAGACTCTGTGCCATGCAGTTCTTCTCCTGTTCGTGGCTATTAGTATAGGAGTATAGCTGAGGAGCTAGCTAAAATCTGAGTCATAGCTTATATGCAATACGGTTAACTCATGTGTTTATAAGTATATTAACGACACTTATTTCGTATTTGTTGATTTCGTTATCATATTTTCAGGGCATGCCGTGAGAGGAATATCGGCAGAATTGTTCGAATCAGAGGCCACACCGATGACGGTGAAATCGGACTTGAGAACTTTTCCGACTTTGAAAACACCCGCGCCATCAGAAGGTGTTATGAGAGAGCTCGAACTTGAGATGCTGCGAGCAGTGCGGGCCGGGGATCCTCTGCGTGTGGGGAAAATTCTGGTACTTTGGGGCGACTTTATATTGTTGGTTTAGAGCTGTGTCGTGTGAACTGCTGGGAGTACGGTAGCGGTAATGATGTTCTCTATGTTCAGGCGTGTGGTTGCCGGCCGAATCCACAAGCATCTCCGAGTGCGGGTTTCTTGATGGAATCGAGCACACCAGAGATCTCCCTCCTTTTATTAGAGGCTGGCGCTGATGTAATATGCACATGGTCTACTACATGGGTTGATGAAAATAGGAAATTTTGGAAAATTGGCGTTGGTTTTTTGCATTCCTCTCATCTAAGTTGTTTGTGCATTCGCATGTGCTCATGAGGAAATCAAATATGTATTGTTACACTGA